ACCCGACCCCGCCAAACTCTTCTTCAGGTGCTATGAATTTCGTGTCAGACAGACAGACAGACGCACACACATAACAGACACACACATACCCTCGTCATCCGGGCAGTTGATTAGGGCGGTCGTCAACGGGCCGCAGCGCGTGCCAGGAACTATTTGCTTTTTCCAGGCTAATTTAGTCATTTTTCCAACTTTTCACTTTTGGCTACTTTTTCCCAGATTAGCAGCTCCTTATCTTCACAAGGTGGAAAAAATGAATTAGCCTGGAAAAGCAAATAGTTCCTGGCACGCGCTGCGGCCCGTTGACGACCGCCCTAATCAACTGCCCGGATGACGAGGTTACATTCACGACACACCCACACACACAGGTCACACCAACAGACAAACTTAGCGGATATATATATAGGTAGGATAACAGGAAGTGATAAAACAGTATCTTTCCTACAGTTGCAAAGACGCAGTCTATATGAATATCTTCAATGGATCAAAAGTACCATTTGTTATATGCATCCTCTATGGCTCAGTTTAAAGTTTCCCTGAGAATTTGTGGGACTGTTTAACACGTGTGAGCGACGTGCCGTTTTTTCTCATGAATTGCCCATGGGACGGCGCATTTCTCTTCGTAGAAACTTAGTAATTTTTGGATAAATGAACGGCTACGGTCAAAATGTTCCAAGAAATGCAGAAATTTAGAATGCGGTCTCAATCCTTGACACGATTTAGTTTTTATTGCTCCAGTCTTCCGACATCAGTCCAGTTTTTACCAATTTTTTTTCTCTGGAAGCGAATTGGGTAGAATGGTGATTTTCGTCCATAGAAAGTTTGACCTCTGAGGATGAATATTACATCCGCTCGGCTCAAAACTGCTTGGCGCGTGCAATAGGCGCTACATTGACGGTAGTTTTTCGCCATTTCTTGCATGACTTGTGCCTCAAACTGTCTGGCGCGCTCGTGCCCTAGACGCTACCTTGACAAAGCTCTATTTTTTATGGCTTGCATTTGGAAGTGCCCTTTTACTCTTCGTTGAAACGGTGCAACCAACGCAGGGGAACGCATGCCTTATCGATCGCGTCAGCTCGCGAATTCGATCGCGGAGTCTGAACAGCAGGCTAAGAGAAGTAGCGAAGTAGGAACTGGCAAGACCGTGGAATCATACCCTCTATGAGGCGATCTTGTCACGATGAGCCGTTCCTTATGCTGAACATCCGACCAACTCGAACGAAACTGGTGCGATGGAGATATGCTGCTTGACAGCGACGCTGAAGTTCCCGATGGTGTGGACGCCGATGACATGGCTCCTGCCGTTGTCCCTGATACTGAAGCTGATGAATCCGATTCCGACGTGTCAGATTACGACAGCAACGACGAAGAAGAGGAAAACACTTGGAGGAACGATGCTCAAGAACATGAGAGATGGACCTTCAGCGAGTCTGTTGGAGCTGCTCCAGAGGTGGACAACTGTGAGACGCCGCTCCAGTTTTATGAGTTGTTCTTCTCAGAAGAACTCCTTACCATGATAGCTGATCAGACTAACGTCTACGCTCAAGAAAAGCGACGTAATTGGATTCAACACGGACTCAGATGAACTGAGAATATTCTTCGGCCTCTGCATGCAGATGTCCCGCTGTCCATTCGATAACCAGCGAAATTACTGGTCGCTGAAACCTCGGAATTTGGCTAGAAATGGGCATTCGATTGCCGGAGATTTTATGACCAGAGATCGATTTGAGGAGATTCAGAGGCATCTTCACTTTGTCGACAACAGTGCTGCCGAAAAGACCAACAAGCTTCTATAAAGTGCAGCCTGTTCTTGACTATCTGAACAGCCGATTTCAAGCCATGTACAGACCTGAGAGGGAGCTGTGCATCGACGAGTCTATGGTGCCATTCAGAGGTCGTGTTTCCTTTTGGCAGTACAATGGAAGAAAACGTCATCGATTTGGAATAAAGCTGTTCAAGCTTTGCTCCCGTGCCGGCTACACTCAAAAGGTCAAGGTTTATGCAGGAAACGCCCAGAGATCCAAAAAAGGACAGCCAGTGTGGCAGAGGCCGTAGTGCTAGAATTGATGGACGGTTTTCTGATGCAGGGACGTTGCCTATGCACCGATAACTGGTACACCAGTCTACCACTCGCTCATACTCTTCTCAGGAAAAAAACAGACATGGTGGGGACAATCGCAAGAAATCGCAAGGGTATCCCTCAGATCCTTAGAGACAAGAAACTTCAGAGAGGAGAGTTCATTTACCAGCAGAACCTAAAAGGAGTGCTAGTTCTGAAATGGAGGGACAAGAGGGATATACATATGATGTCTACCAAGCACGATGCTGGTCTTCACCCAAACGGCAAGCCTTTGGTTGTTGTCGACTACAACAAGATGAAGGGATTCGTGGACCTGAGCGACCAGATGGCTGCCTATACGCCGTTTGTGAGGAAAACATCTAAATGGTATATTCGGTTGTTCTTTCATCTCTTGACGCAGACCGCCTTAGTCAACGCCTGGTTTTTGTATTGCGAGAAGATCAAGAAAATTAAAATCAATCACTTCAAGGAGTTGATTGTGGACGACTTGTTGTACCAGAACTTGAACAACATAACTAGCAGCTCAAGGTCACGCAAGCGCAAGCTAATATCTGACCCAAATGCGAAAGCTAAAAACAGACGACTTTGCTCCGACTGTTACAGCTCAATCTCTGCAACTGCTGGCAGATCGACGGCTAGGAAACTGGCTAAGAAGACCAAGTCAAAATGCAGTCTGTGTAACAAATTCTGCTGTTTAGATTGTTTCCAAAAATCTCATAGTTGTTGATTAACTGCATTATTTTTTTGCGTGAATGTATGTATTATTGCAAAGTGAACTATATTTATTGAAAGTAAAAATGAAGGACAAGCCTTGAAAGCTATTCATATTTGGTTGATTCCAATACCGTAATACTGTCTTCATTCGCCATGGCGTTGCTGTGGCAAGTCGGTTGTGAAATTCGTGTTCACTGGCAATCAAATCACCCAGGGTTAGCAAGTTTTCAGCAATTCGCTGATTTAATTGGTATTTTGGCGCCGGCGCCTGTGGCGGCGCGGGCGCCAGGCGGTTTTGTGGCAAGCGGTTGTGAAATTCGTGTTCACGGCATCAAATTACCCCAGTGTACAAGTTTTCAGCCAATTTGGTGATTTATGGTATTTTGGCGCCCGGCGCCTGTGGCGCGGGCGCCAGGCTGTTTTGTGGCAAGCGGTTGTGAAATTCGTGTTCACGGCATCAAATTACCCCAGTGTACAAGTTTTCAGCTAATTTGGTGATTTATGGTATTTTGGCGCCGGCGCCTGTGGCGCGGGCGCCAGGCGGTTTTGTGGCAAGCGGTTGTGAAATTCGTGTTCACGGCATCAAACTACCCCAGTGTACAAGTTTTCAGCTAATTTTGGTGCAATTTATTGATCTATGGTATGTGGCGGTGGCGCGCTTGCTGCGCGGCGCCAGGTAATTCGCCGCAAACAGCTGTTGGTATTCTATTCATGAGGTTACAGAGCTCCCCCTCATAGGGACAAGTTTTAGCACGAGTTGGTCGATGTCGGTACATCTTTCTTCTTAGAAAATATACTGGCAGACACCATTGTCTGCCATCGTCCCATGAGACAGACTGGCTGTCAGCCACCATTGTCTGCCACCGTCGTCAACTGTTAAATGGAAAAAAGTGTGATAACATAAATTAATAACATTAATACCTAAAGTAGCTGTGACGATCAGTTTGAAACCACCACTGTTCATTGTTCTATCGGTGACGAAATTCGCCATGAGATTGTTGGATTTGGTGTACAATCGTCCTGCCGGCATTCTGGAAAAAAGTGGGCGAATAGAGTTGGGAACTGTCACGTCCCACATGCTAGACTCACTGAGCTTTTGCTCCACAAAATTTGCCCAGACTGGTGCCATTCATATTTACGCCATCGACCAACTCAAGGTAATCCATGACACAATCGCCTGACATTTCGAGATCCATAAACTCGAACCTGAAAACCAGATTTGATAGCCAACCATTCCAGCGACAACGCAGCAACGCAATTTCGTAAGCTAGATGTAGCTCGGGGCAGTCTGCGGCAACGCGGCGGTCGCGAGCGACGTCGCCAACGTCGCACCGCCGCAGTGTGCCCCGAGCGGCATGTGCATTCGGGCAACAGCGCTGATCAGTCATGCACGCTGCGCCACGCTGATTCCTTTTCAAGACTACAATCCTCGTGTCGCTAAACACAGCTCGCGGATTCCGAGACATTCTTATTTCATTCTCATTCTTCACGATCATACTGACGGAAAGCAACACCAGACCAGGCTGGGGGAAGCCCACAAAAACGACAAGGCCACACTCACTTGATGGCAAGCACTCGTCCCTCAGGTGCAGTGACATTCCATAGACAATCAAGGTCGTGAGCATAGTCAAGAGGGAAGGCAGGTGATGAGAGTGTAGTCATATAGCCAGAATCCTCGGTCATTTCGATGTCGCCACCACATCACTGCTGCAAACGGATCAGTCTCTAATTGTTTCTTTTAGGGCGCTGTCGGTCTAACATTCGTCAGCAATCAATCATACATCCAGGGAGCAAAGAAGCTAGAGAGAGGATTCCAGATCAGCTATTCGATTGAAAGTAAGTGGAATTCTACTTGGCAGCAGATAACCCTAATTCCCTAAAGGGGAGCCACTTAACACAATTCGTCTGATTTGTTCTACTGGACCCTGACCCACTGAGTTTTTAATTTCAGGATGTGGTGGCGACATCGAAATGACCGAGGATTCTGGCTATATGACTACACTCTCATCACCTGCCTTCCCTCTTGACTATGCTCACGACCTTGATTGTCTATGGAATGTCACTGCACCTGAGGGACGAGTGCTTGCCATCAAGTGAGTGTGGCCTTGTCGTTTTTGTGGGCTTCCCCCAGCCTGGTCTGGTGTTGCTCTTCCGTCAGTATGATCGTGAAGAATGAGAATGAAATAAGAATGTCTCGGAATCCGCGGAGCTGTTGATTAGGACACGAGGATTGTAGTCTTGAAAGGAGGTCAGCGTGCGCAGGCATCATGACTGATCAGCGCTGTTGCCCGAATGCACATGCCGCTCGGGGCACACTGCGGCGGTGCGACGTTGGCGACGTCGCTCGCGACCGCCGCGTTGCCGCAGACTGCCCCGAGCTACATCTAGCTTACGAAATTGCGTCCTGCGTTGTCGCTGGAATGGTTGGCTATCAAATCTGGTTTTCAGGTTCGAGTTTATGGATCTCGAAATGTCAGGCGATTGTGTCATGGATTACCTTGAGTTGGTCGATGGCGTAAATATGAATGGCACCAGTCTGGGCAAATTTTGTGGAGCAAAAGCTCAGTGAGTCTAGCATGTGGGACGTGACAGTTCCCAACTCTATTCGCCCACTTTTTTCCAGAATGCCGGCAGGACGATTGTACACCAAATCCAACAATCTCATGGCGAATTTCGTCACCGATAGAACAATGAACAGTGGTGGTTTCAAACTGATCGTCACAGCTACTTTAGGTATTAATGTTATTAATGTTATGTTATCATGTTTTTTCCATTTAACAGTCCCACAAATTCTCAAGGAAAATTTAAACTGAGCCCCAGAAGATGCATATAACAAATGGCCAAGTGTACTTTTGAACCATCAAAGGCAGTTGGCACGATAAATCCTCCAAGACGAGCAGGACTAATACGCCTGGCAGGACGGAATTCCGCGACCCTGAGCAGGCGCTGCATAATGCCTTTTCCAAGGAAGGTGCCCTTATAAGGGCCTATCAAGCCACAACTTTACGACCCAAACGCCCGCCACGCCCGCCCGCCCACAAATGGACGACCTGTTCCTGACGCTCTAATTGATTCATTTGCTAAGCAAATTATGAAGCGAAGGCATTGGTATGAAGCGGCCGTGATGCTGCATGGATATATGAGTGCACATGCAGCCGTACCTTCGGTAGCAGTATTTGGCAAGATTGCCCACGGAGAACTCTGTCCAAAACATTTATTTTCTAACACATTTAAGAATAGAGTTTGCTTCGCAGAATCACTCCTTCGCTTCTCATTTCCCCACTAATATAGCATGTTATGGCGAGGCCCAATCATCGTGCCAACTGTTTAAAGGTATTCATGTGGACTCGTCTACAATAACTAATAGGGAAAAATAACTGTTTACAGTCTGTGTTTTACAGTACGCGCTCCGGAAGTTGTCGCAAAAATACTGAGTTATGGGCAAAAGTCTTGACCACAGGGAGGACTTGAATCCTCACCCACGTTTTGCAGGCGAGGTGCGGATTCAAGCCCCGCCTGGGGTCAAGATTTTTGCCCAAAACTCGCCATTTCTGAGATATCAAATGAATAAGCTCAAAGAACTGGTTTCAGGTGAGAAGTCTGGATGCGGTGGCACATTGAAGGCAACTGGCGACTGGCAAACGCTTAAACCACCTCTGGATAAAAATGGTTTGTGAATTATCGTACGAGCGGATGGCCTTCATTCTATAGGGGCTGGCACGCACCGCTTAGTTCCAGGCCTGTGCTGAGCTCCGTTCATAGTTTAACGACTCCGTTGCACTTCGTGATCAGCGATTAAAATTATATGCAGTCATGATTTTTGAATTGTAAGGGCGTGTAACGAAGGCGTGTCGTGGCTCGGAGCGCCGCCAGGACTGGTTTCCTGCCAATTATGGCGGGCACAGAATCCCTTCATTACTGGGTAAAGGCCACCCTGGCCACGCTCCAATCCATGCCGCGGTTACACGCCGCCCTCTCGTTTGCAGGGATCATGACTGAGCGTGTTCGGGGGTTGAGAAATGGCATAGGATGGGCAATTCGGGGATTTGATGATTGGCGTCAGGGCGCGGTAGACCGACTTTGAAACAAATTTCGGTGACGACAGGAAGGCATTTCTCGCTGCCAGGGAGACTCTCTGCTGAATACCCCCCCCCTCCTTTTTTTTCTTCTCCGGTAAGACATTCCCAGGCACCGACTGCTCATCTCAACTTTTCAAAACGTTTGTTGCCGAGCGGGAGAAGGGCAATAGGTATACGTTCCCCTTAACTATCAGCAATACTTGCCTCGTCGTCATTGATTTCATTTAGGAACGCGTAGGACAGGAAAAGTCAGAAAAAAACTGACAATGAAAAACTTCTCTCGCAGTCAGACAGGGCCCTCTACCCTCCAGTGACTGAACATGAATGTGTCTGAGTCTGGGGGTCTTCAATATACTAGGCAAGGCAAAAAAGTGACGAACGCGCTCCTATTGGAGAATCACTCAGTCGACCGTGTCGCGAACTGTGGGCGCAGCCTTGCCATTTGTCTCATACTCATTTTCTAGGATCTCTTCAGGTCAATATATCCATAACCTCCACTGCGGTTGGAACATCATTGGACCCGATCGGACTATGTTAGAGCTACAGATCACAAAACTGGACACCGAAGACCTCGAATCACCTCCAGGGATCGTCTCAGCCAGCGGTACACGCTGTGTGGACGCACTTACGGTAGTTTACCATATGTGGCTTCAAAAGCGAACTTACTGACCATTTGATCTTCAGATATACGACGGATACAAATCATTCTCTCCCGTACTGGCACACGACATATGTGAAGACACAGTTCGATCACCCTTGCCATTGGTCTACCACACTTCACACAAGTAAGTTACGGTACCTAAATCAAATCGATAATCGATTTTCCTTTCGAATCAGAATAGGAACTGCCCAAGTTCTTTTAGCTGGAATGAATAATTAAAGGTTTCAAAATCATGTTTATTTCAAGAGTAGCTCATGTGTACTTTGAAAGCGACATGAATGGATCTGGAAGCGGCTTCGAGCTCAAGTACCGATCGATAAAACGTGAGTCTTTCCCAGTGATTTTTTGGAAGTCTCACCCAAACTGCCCCATGTGCAGTCACAGTCATGCTAGCTGCGGGTGCTGGAGCGTGCCAGAAGGCTGGTTTGGTGCGGCGCCAGCCCGAATTTCCAGCAACTGTGGTCGTCTGCCGGCTTGCACAATTGGCGGAAAAGGGCTGGCTCCGTGCCAATGGCAGCCCTCCTGATACGTCACATCGTCCACAGCGAACAAGACTATATACTTACCATACTTCATTTGCAGCTGATTGCGGTGACTGGCTGGTGGCGACAAGCGAATCGCAGACTTTTACCTATCAGAGCAAGGGAAACAAAGGTTTGTTCCATTTTATTTCCTGAAGTTTCCTTTTATTCTCAATCCTGGATTGTAAGAGAATGTGCCAACCTGGCATGGGGAAAATCAAGGCGAGGAACGAGCCCAAGACATTTTTTAACCACTAATACGACCCCTTCCTCTAGCGACCTATACGACTCCCTCCTTCCTTCGACCGAACACGACCCTCTTGCCGAGAACCCCAACGTAAAGTTGCCTGCCCCGTTTCCATTTCCTTGATAGATTGATAGAGGGTGGGATTTCGGCCAACGAGTTTTTACCTAACGCTTCTTGATGTTTCTTCATGGTTGAGCTCAGCTCTGAAAGATTGTTCATGAGGGGACAACGAATTTTGCAGATAAACATAACGGTCAAACTAATCAACGATGCCAATGGGTTATCCAGTCCAAGTCGCAAACACCGATTTGGTTACAGTTCAGGTACCTTTTATATGGCTACTCTTGGACTATTTTGACTAGTAAATATCGTTTCCGCTTTCAGCAGCCTCAAGTTCCCTTCAGTAGATGGCGATTGTTCCGACGCGTTCATCGAAATCCGCGACGTTGGTCTGATCTCCAGATGCCAACATCCAGCTTGTGCTAAGGAAACCACCGATAGAAAGGTGAGGTTTTCGTGACTCACGCGAAGAGGATGCGCTGTGTGATCATACTCACCTGGAAAGGCGTTGCTGGCACAGTTCAGTGTCGGGGGGGGGCATTTCGCACCTCCGCTCTGAAGAAACTATATGTCAGGCCTGTAAAGAATACCTA